CCTGGATTTGGGGGGCGGCGCCGCTGGCGTAGGAGCGTTCGGGAATAGCGGCGGCGTAAGGGCGCGGCCGGCGGAGCGCCGCCCGCGCTGCGCAAACGGCGTAGCGGCCGCGCAAACGGCGCAAGGGCCGCGCCGGTACCGGGAGCGGGGCGGGACCGGGAACGGGAACGGGGCGGGACCGGGAACGGGGCGGGGCCGGGTCACGGCGGTCAGTCGCGATAGCAGCGGGGCTGAGCGGGTGCGGAATGGATTCGGGGGTTCCGTGGGCGCTGCGGCCTCCCCGGTTCTCGCTCCGCGCCCCCGGGATCCCACCCGGGATTCCTTGGGAATGCTGAGCTGCGTGCGCCTTCCTCCCCACCACCATCATCATCATCGTGCTCCGGGCTGCGCCCCGGAGATAGGAGCGGGCTGGGCCGGGCCCGGCAGCGCCGATAACGGGAGCGGAGCTCGCCGCCCTCCCGGCGAGGCGGAGGGGCCACCGAGGAACGCCCAGAGCCCGCGGCGGGCACGGCTCTGCCCCCTTTGTCCGGCCCCGAGCCGCTTCGTGCCGGCTGTCACTTCCTGGGGCACTCCCGCCCCGATGTCAGTCTGTCCTGCTGTCCCCTCAGCCTCCGCATCCCCAAATTCCCACCCACGCGCTGTTCCCGCTGTTTCGGGCTGGTTTGGGCCCCTTTTCCCCCGTGGAAATGCCCCCGTGGGAGCTGCGGAGTTTTCCTTCCCCTCCTGTGGGGTTTTTCCAGGCTGGGATCCATCACTTTTCCCTTCCAAACTCATTCCCAGCCTGGATTTGGGCTCTCCCAGCACTCAGGGTGGAACGGTGGAGTTGCTCCCCATCCCAAAATTCCTGGCAATTTTAGCAGCCTTTAATTACAGCGCTGCTGGGAAACCATCCCTGCTAATTAAACCCCTCCATCCGGGGCTGCTTCCCCACCTCATCCTGCAGCTCCTGCTAATTAGGGTTAATTGGCACACTGAGGAATGCTGGCCTGACCATCCATCCCCATCTTTCAGGGGCAGTTGTGGCTGAGCAGGGGCTGGGCTTTCCTCCCTGGATCACAAATTCCAGCTGGGCTGAGCCAGGGCCTCGGGGCTGTTCCCGCTGTCCCTGCGTGGATCCATCCAGCCAGGCTCGGAAACTGCCCCGGGGGCGTTGATTTTGTGGCTTTTTGCAGCTTGTTGGAGCTTTAATTTGGTTTTTGTGAGCCGCCAGGAAGCCCTGGATCCGTGCTGGGAGTCCAGGGTCCCTGTTGGGAAGCCCTGGCGCTGTTTTGTTGGTTTTTTACACCTAAAATACACAAGAAGATAATCCTGAGGGACCTGGAACTGGGCTGGGAAGCCTCTAAATCCACATTTCAGCCTAACTGAGCTGGAATTTCCCCCTGGGAGAAGGCCTGGGACGTCCCTGGGGGGGTCTGGGGGGCCTGGAGCGCCTCAACCCCGGAATTTTGTGGGAGAAGCACCCAGGGGTGGTCACCAGGACTCCCTGTGGCCCCAGCACCCCTCTTTGGAGCCCTGCTCTGCCAAATCCTGACGTGCCAGCCCTGCCCCGAGCTGTCACTGCCCCGGGGGACAATGGAGCCCTTGTCCCCCCGGGGGTGGGGACAGTCCCCGACCTCAATGGGGCTTTATGAGCCCTGGGGCTGGGGATCCTTATCCTGCCGGGGATCCCGAACCGGGGCTGGACCCCCGGGGTTGGGATCGGGGGGTTTGGGGCCACAGGGGGAGGTGAACCCCACGGGAATGGGATGGGGGCAGCGACCCATCCTGGGGGACTGGGCCAGGGCAGGGGGCTGGAGGTGTCCGGGGTGAATCCGTGGGGTTTGCCAGGGTTGGGTGGGAGCCACGGCCAGGGGAATCCAGGGAATTCCATCAGGAATGGGAAGGGAATCCTTTGGAGTGAGTGGAGCCAGCGTGAGGTGGTTTGGAAACAGGGAAACGCGCTCAGGTGTTTCCCCAGGGATTTTTCTGCACAGGGAAGTTCCTGCTGTGCTCCTCCACCTTGGGAGTGGGGCTGGAGGTGTCCAGGGGTGAATCCGTGGGGTTTGCCAGGGTTTGGTGGGAGCCACGTTGATGGAAATTCAGGGAATTCCATCAGGAATGGGAAGGGAATCGTTCGGAGCGAGTGGAACCAGCGTTGGGTGGTTTGGAAATGTGGAGACGTGCTCAGGTGTTTCCCCAGGGATTTTCTGGCACAGGGAAGTTCCTGCTGTGCTGCTTCACCTTGAGAGTGGGGCTGGAGGGGTGAATCCGTGGGGTTTGCCCTGGTTTGGAGGGAAATCCAGGGAATTCCATTGGGAATGGGAAGGGAATCGTTTGGAGTGAGTGGAGACGCGCTCAGGTGTTTCCCCAGGGGTTTTTCTGCACAGGGAAGTTCCTGCTGTGCTCCTTCACCTTGAGAGTGGGGCTGGAGGGGTGAATCCGTGGGGTTTGCCCTGGTTTGGAGGGAAATCCAGGGAATTCCGTCAGGAATGGGAAGGGAATCGTTTGGAGCAAGTGGAACCGGCGTGAGGTGTTTTGGAAACGCGCTCAGGTGTTTCCCCAGGGATTTTCTGGCACGGGGAAGTTCCCACACCTTGAGACCTTTGTCCCTTTGTCCCTCTGGTGGCCCTGGTCACGCCCGGCCCAGGTGGGAGGCGGCAGATCCGGGCAGGTGACAGCAGGTGACGTCAGGCAGGTGACGTCCCGGGGCTCCCTCGCGCGTCACCGCGCGCCCGGCTCCTGCCCGGGGCACACGGAGCTGGGTGGCACCTGCCAGCCCTCCCTGTCCTTCCTGAGGCCTTGCCCCTGAGCTGTGACCTGCAGCGGGGGGAGACGGGGATTGGGGGGGCTGGAGCACAGGGATCACCTGGATTGTTCTGGGATGGGGCACGGGGATCACCTGGATTGGCCTGGGATGGGGGCTGGGACACAGGGATCACCTGGATTGGCCTGGGATGGGGGCTGGGACACAGGGATCACCTGGATTGGCCTGCTGGGGCACGGGGATCAGCTGGACTGGCCTGGGATGGGGCACAGGGATTAGCTGGATTGTGCTGGGATGGGGGCTGGGACACAGGGATCACCTCAGTGGATGGGGGCTGGGACACAGGGATCACCTGGATTGGCCTGGGATCAGAGCTGGGGATCACCTGGACTGGCCTGGGATGGGGGCTGGGACACAGGGATCACCTCAGGTCCCCCAGGAGTGGGGCTGGGGATCACCTGGATTGCCCTGGGATCAGAGCTGGGGATCACCTGGACTGGCCTGGGATGGGGGCTGGGACACAGGGATCACCTGGATTGGCCTGGGATCAGGGCTGGGACACAGGGATCACCTCAGTTCCCCCAGGATTGGGGCTGGGGATCACCTGGATTGGCCTGGGATCAGAGCTGGGACACAGGGATCACCTCAGGTCCCCCAGGATTGGGGCTGGGGATCACCTGGATTGCCCTGGGATCAGGACTGGGACAAGATCACCTCACTCCCCAGGGATCAGGGCTGGGACGGGAGCGAGCAGCAGAGCCAGAGGTGTTGCCCCCACTTTGAGGGCCTCCCCCAGACCCCAACATTCCCTCTGGGACCATCTGGGACCTCCCGGGATCCTTTCCCTCCTTTTCCCACCCGGGCTCTTCCCGCCCGACCCGTCCTCCCGGTTGGGCAGGAAGTGAATTTCCATTTTTCCATTTCCGGGCTCCGGGCCGGGGCCGGGGCTGTGCCGGGAAGGCCGTGGCACCCTGGGGTGGCACCCTGGGGTGGCACCCTGGGGTGGCACCGGGGGGGTGACGCTCTCGGGGCGTTGTTGTGACGTCCAGGCCGGGCAGTTCCCGGCAGAGCCCATCCCAGGGGGTTTTCACTCCCGTTCCCAGCAGGCACTTCCCTGTGCCCTGCTCGGGAAAGGGGTGGTGGCAGCCCCAGCCCAGAGCTGCCCTTGCAGCTCCACCTTTTCCAGGCAGGGTTCTCCCAAAAAAAAATCTCCTGGCACTGCGGGCAGGAGGAATTCTGTGGGAATTTGCTGCTTTCCCTCCCAGCAGCGGCCTGTTCTCTCCCCCATGACAGCAGGGATTGATCTGCTGTGTTCCCAGTCCCCTCCCTGGGCTCTCCAGCACTGCAGAAATCAATGAGATTCATTAATTAATTGATCCACCCTTTCATGCCTTGCAGGGATTTCCTCCCCCGTGGCTCTGGGATCGTCACTCGCCGGCCTCTCATCCTGCAGCTCATCTTCTCCAAGACGGGTACGGGGCTGGCAGGAGGGCAGCGAGCTCCCTGGGGTGTGCCCCCAGCCCCCAGCCCCCTGCTCAGCACGGGGGAACGCAGGGAGAGCCCTGGCAATGCCCGGGAGGCCGCAGCAGTGCCAGGGAGAGGCGAGCCGGGCACGGGGGCGGCTCCTTTGCCCAGCCTTGGTGACCATCAGCCGTGCTGATAGGAGGGACAATGCCTTCCTCCCCTTCACCTTGGGCAGGCAGGCTCTTGTCCTGCCCGAAATCCCTGGGTTTGGGTGAATCCCTGGGTTTGGGTGAATCCCAGAGCAGCCAGGCTCTTCTCCTGCCCCAAAATCCCTGGATCTGGGTGAATCCCTGGATCTGGGTGAATCCCTGGATCTGGGTGAATCCCTGAGCCCCTGGTGCCCTCCTGGAGCTGAGGGAAGTTGGGAAGAGGCGAGGGAGAATTCCTTCCTCCCCTTCACCTTGGCCAGGCTCTTCTCCTGCCCCAAAATCCCTGGATTTGGGTGAATCCCTGGATTTGGGTGAATCCCAGAGCCCCTGGTGCCCTCCTGGGGCCATCAGTGGCTCCTGGGAGCTGGGGGAAGTCGGGAAGAGGCGAGGGAGAATTCCTTCCTCACCTTGGCCAGGCAGGCTCTTCTCCTGCCCCAAAATCCCTGGATCTGGGTGAATCCCAGAGCAGGCAGGCTCTTGTCCTGCCCCAAAATCCCTGGATCTGGGTGAATCCCTGGATTTGGGTGAATCCCTGGGTTTGGGTGAATCCCTGGATTTGGGTGAATCCCCGGATCTGGGTGAATCCCTGGATTTGGGTGAATCCCAGAGCAGCCAGGCTCTTCTCCTGCCCCAAAATCCCTGGATTTGGGTGAATCCCTGGGTTTGGGTGAATCCCTGGATCTGGGTGAATCCCTGGATCTGGGTGAATCCCTGGATCTGGGTGAATCCCTGGATCTGGGTGAATCCCGGGATCTGGGTGAATCCCAGAGCCCCTGGTGCCCTCCTGGAGCTGAGGGAAGTTGGGAAGAGGCGGGTTTGGGGTGGTGGGAGGGTGGATCAGGGCTGAGGGCTCTGGGCTGAGGTGTCTGGGGTGGCTCCAGCCGAGGTTTCCGCTCTGCCCACACGCAGGGAAGGAGGAAGGAAATTGCACCATCCCAGAGCTGCTGGAAGCCCTTGTTGTGGGCAGAGTGGGACCCAGTCCCTTCCCTGTGTGCTGCAGCCCCTTCCCCACGTCCTGCAGCCCCTTCCTCACGTCCTGCAGCCCCTCCTGGGTATCCTGCAGTCCCTCTCACATCCTGCAGCCCCTTCCCCTTATCCTGCAGCCCCTCCTGGGTGTCCTGCAGCCCCTCCTCATGTCCTGCAGCCCCTTCCCCACATCCTGCAGCCCCTTCCCCCTGTCCTGTACCCTTCCTGGGTATCCTGCAGCCCCTTCCCCATGTGCTGCACCCCTCCTTAGTGCCCTGCAGCCCCTCCTGGGTGTCCTGCAGCCCCTTCCCCTTATCCTGCAGTCTCTCTCATGTCTTGTAGCCCCTCCTGGGTGTCTTGTAGCCCCTCCTCATGTCCTGCAGCCCCTTCCCCACACTCCCCACTCCCCCCTCCATATCCCCCTGCTTGCTCCATCCCCTTCCCCCCAAACATTCCCTGGTTTTGACATCCCAGTCCCTTCCAGAATATGCCGAGTTCCTGCACTGCAAATCCAAGAAGTTCACGGACTTCGATGAGGTGCGGCAGGAGATCGAGGCCGAGACCGACCGGGTGACGGGCACCAACAAGGGCATCTCCCCCGTGCCCATCAACCTGCGCGTGTACTCCCCCCACGGTGAGGGGGAACGGGCCAAAATCGGGGGGAAATCTGGGGAAAATCTGGGGAAAATCTGGGAAAAATCGGGGGAAAATCTGGGAAAAATCGGGGAAGAATTGGGGAATAATCGGGGAAAAATCTGTGAAAAATCGGGGAAAAATCAGGGAAAAATCTGGGAAAAATCGGGGGAAAATCTGTGACAAATCGGGGAAAAATCGGGGAAAAATCTGTGAAAAATCTGTGAAAAATCAGGGAAAAATCTGGGAAAAATCGGGGGAAAATCTGTGACAAATCGGGGAAAAATCGGGGAAAAATCTGTGAAAAATCTGTGAAAAATCAGGGAAAAATCTGTGAAAAATCAGGGGAAAATCTGTGAAAAATCAGGGAAAAATCTGGGAAAAATGGGAAAAATTTGGGAAAAATCGGGGAAAATCTGGGAAAAATCGGGGAAAATGTGGGGAAAGTCGGGGAAAAATCGGGGAAAAGTCGGGGAAAAATCTGTGAAAAATCTGGAAAAATCAGTGAAAAATGGGGGGGTTGTGGGGCCGTGCAGGAGCGGCTCCTCCCCCAGAGGGGATCCTCACCCCGCCCGTGTCCCCCCAGTGCTGAACCTGACCCTGATCGACCTGCCGGGGATCACCAAGGTGCCCGTGGGGGATCAGCCGCAGGACATCGAGTTCCAGATCCGGGACATGATCCTGCAGTTCATCAGCCGCGAGAGCAGCCTCATCCTGGCCGTCACGCCGGCCAACATGGACCTGGCCAACTCGGACGCGCTCAAGATGGCCAAGGAGGTGGATCCGCAGGGTAAAGGGATGGGGGTGGCCCCGGGAGGGGCTTCTCTGCCTTCCTCGTCCTCTTCCTCCCCCCCGGCGGGGCTGGGGGGTCCTTTCTGCTCCGTGGGGCCCCGCTGTGCTTGGCCGGGGTTCAGGGGATCGACGCTGGGCTCCGCAGGGCTGAGGACCATCGGGGTCATCACCAAGCTGGACCTGATGGACGAGGGCACCGACGCCCGGGACGTGCTGGAGAACAAACTGCTGCCCCTGCGGAGAGGTGCGGCTGGCCCGGGTGCCCAGTGTGCCCCATGTGCCCCTTGGGTCACTGTGTGTGCCCAGTGTGCCCCTCGGGTCACTCTGTGTGTCCCTTCTGTGCCCCTCGGGTCAGTCTGTGTGTCCCCCATGTCCCCCTCAGGTCACTCTGTGTCCCCTGCCCTCTGTCCTTCCCTGGCTCTCTGTGTGTCCTCCTCAGGTCACTCTTTCTGTCCCTTCTGTCCCCTTCGGGTCACTGTGTGTCCCCTGTGTGCCCCTCGGGTCACTGTGTGTGTCCCCTGCCCCGTGTCCCCCTCAGGTCACTCCATGTGTGCCCCTTGGGTCACTCTCTGTGTCCCTTCTGTCCCCCTGGGGTCACTCTGTGTGTCCCCAGTGTCCCCTGCTCTGTGTCCCTCCCCAGCTGTCCGCAGTGTCCCCTGTGCCCTCCCCGTGCTCTGGGAGTGCCATTCCCAGGCCGGGTGCCACACGGTGTCCCCGCGGTGTCCCCGCTGTGTCACGGTGTCCCTGCTCTGTCACGGTGTCCCCACGATGTCCCTCCAGTGTCCCTGCATTGTCCCCACAGTGTCCCCTCTGTGCCACGGTGTCTCCACTGTGTCACGGTGTCCCCCCGGTGTCCCCTCTGTGTCACACTGTCCCCACAGTGTCCCCTGGGTGTCCCCTCTGTGTCACACTGTCCCCACGGTGTCCCCCGGTGCCCCCTGGTGCCAGGCTACATCGGCGTGGTGAACCGCAGCCAGAAGGACATCGATGGCAAGAAGGACATCCGCGCCGCGCTGGCGGCCGAGCGCAAGTTCTTCCTGTCGCACCCGGCCTACCGGCACATGGCCGAGCGCATGGGCACGCCGCACCTGCAGAGGGTGCTCAACCAGGTGGGACGGCTGCAAAAGTGGGATTTTCCTCCTGGGACAGGCCATTCCTGCCTGGGAAAATGGGATTTTCTGGGTGGGACAGGTCATTTGTACCTGGGAAAGTTCTTCCTGTCGCACCCGGCCTACCGGCACATGGCCGAGCGCATGGGCACGCCGCACCTGCAGAGGGTGCTCAACCAGGTGGGACGGCTGCAAAAGTGGATTTTCCTCCTGGGACAGGCCATTTGTGCCCAGAAAAATGGGATTTTCCCCCTGGGACAGCCCATTCCCACCTGGAAAAGTGGATTTTCCTGGTGGGACAGCCCGTTCCTGCCTGCAGAAATGGGATTTTTCTGGTGGGACGGCCCCTTCCTGCATTCCCACCTGGAAAAATGGGATTTTCCCCATGGCACAGCCCCTTTCTACCTGGAAAAATGGGATTTTCCGGATGGCACAGCCCATTTGTACCTGGAAAAGTGGGATTTTCCCCATGGGACAGGTCATTTGTGCCTGGAAAATGGGATTTTCCCCATGGGACAGCCTATTGCCACCTGGAAAAGTGGATTTTCCTGGTGGGACAGCCCGTTTGTACCCAGAAAAGCGGGATTTTCCCCGTGGGATAGGCCATTTGTCCCAGAAAAAATGGATTTTTCCAGGTGGTACAGCCCATTTGTACCAGGAAGATTGGGATTTTCTGGGTGGCACAGCCCATTTTTACCTGGAAAATGGGGATTTCCCCCCGGCACAGCCCGTTTCTCCCAGGAAAAGCAGATTTTCCCTGTGGCACAGCCCATTTTTACCTGGAAAATGGGGATTTTCCCCCCGGCACGCCCCGTTTCTCCCAGGAAAAGCGGATTTTTCCTGGCTCCCAGCTCAGTTCCCCATCCCTCGCAGCAACTCACGAACCACATCCGCGAGACGCTGCCGGCGCTGCGCAGCAAGCTGCAGAGCCAGCTGCTGTCGCTGGAGAAGGAGGTGGAGGAGTACAAGAACTTCCGTCCCGACGACCCCGCGCGCAAAACCAAGGCGCTGCTGCAGTGGGTGCCTCGCGGGGAGAATCCGGGTTTTGGGATCATCCCGGCGGGACTTTGGGATCATCCCGGCGGGATTTTGGGATCATCCCGGCGGGACTTTGGGATCATCCCGGCGGGATTTTGGGATCATCCCGGCGGGATTTTGGCATTTTGGGCTTTCCCGGGAGGAGTTTGGGTTTTCCCAGTGGGATTTTGGCTTTTCCCAGGTGGATTTTGGGCTTTCCCGGGGGGATTTTGGGAAATCCTGGTGGGATTTTGGGTTTTCCCAGTGGGATTTTGGGTTTTCCCAGTGGGATTTTGGGTTTTCCTCATCCCGGCGGGATTTTGGGATCATCCCGGCGGGATTTTGGCATTTTGGGCTTTCCCGGGAGGAGTTTGGGTTTTCCCAGTGGGATTTTGGCTTTTCCCAGGTGGATTTTGGGCTTTCCCGGGGGGATTTTGGGAAATCCTGGTGGGATTTTGGGTTTTCCCAGCGGGATTTTGGGTTTTCCCAGCGGGATTTTGGGTTTTCCCGGTGGGATTTTGGGGTTTTCCAGGCGGGATTTTGGGAAATTCCGGAGGGCTTTTGGGTTTTCCTGGTGGGATTTTGGGTTTTCCCGGCAGGATTTTGGGCTTTCCCGGAGGGATTTTGGGTTTTCCCAGCGGGATTTTGGGTTTTCCCGGCGGGATCTTGGGTTTTCCCAGTGGGATTTTGGGTTTTCCCGGGTGGATTTTGGGCTTTCCCGGGGGGATTTTGGGAAATCCTGGTGGGATTTTGGGTTTTCCCAGCGGGATTTTGGGTTTTCCCGGCGGGATCTTGGGTTTTCCCAGTGGGATTTTGGGTTTTCCCGGGTGGATTTTGGGCTTTCCCGGGGGGATTTTGGGAAATCCTGGTGGGATTTTGGGTTTTCCCAGCGGGATTTTGGGTTTTCCCGGCGGGATCTTGGGTTTTCCCAGTGGGATTTTGGGTTTTCCCGGGTGGATTTTGGGCTTTCCCGGGGGGATTTTGGGAAATCCTGGTGGGATTTTGGGTTTTCCCAGCGGGATTTTGGGTTTTCCCGACGGGATTTTGGGTTTTCCCGGCGGGATTTTGGGTTTTCCCGGTGGGATTTTGGGTTTTCCTGGCGGGATTTTGGGTTTTCCCGGTGGGATTTTGGGTTTTCCCGGCGGGATTTTGGCTTTTCCCAGCGGGATTTTGGGCGTTCCTGGAGGGATTTTGGGTTTTCCCGGCGGGATTTTGGGTTTTCCCAGTGGGATTTTGGGCTTTCCCAGTGGGATTTTGGGTTTTCCCGGTGGGATTTTGGGTTTTCCCAGCGGGATTTTGGGTTTTCCCGGCGGGATTTTGGGCGTTCCCAGCTCGGAGTGTTCCCGCTGGGCTCGGAGGAGGGATGGGAAAACCTCTCCTGGGAAATCCCCGCATTCCCTGCGTGGGTCCTGTCCCTCCCACCCCGCAGGAAAGTGGGATTTTCACTTCCAGCTGCAGGGATCTGGGGGATTTTTGCTCCCTCATTCCCAGTTTCCCTGCCCCAGGATGGTGCAGCAGTTCGGGGTGGACTTTGAGAAGAGGATTGAGGGCTCAGGAGACCAGGTGGACACCCTGGAGCTCTCCGGGGGCGCCAGGATCAACCGGATTTTCCACGAGAGGTTCCCCTTCGAGCTGGTGAAGGTGAGGATGGGGGTTCCTCTCCCTGCAGGATTTTCCAACCCAAACCGTGCCACGATCCCATAAAAATCCCGAGATTTGAGGCAGATCCTCGGAGGGGTCATTCTGGTGTGGTTCCTCTGGCTGCTGGACAGGGGGACAGGCCTGATTTCTGATTGATTTCTGGTTAATTGCTGATTCCTGATTGCTGATTGATTGCTGATTTCTGATTAATTTCTGATTCCTGATTGCTGATTCCTGATTTCTGATTGATTTCTGGTTAATTTCTGATTCCTGATTCCTGCTTGATTCCTGATTTCTGATTAATTTCTGATTTCTGATTAATTTCTGATTCCTGATTTCTGGTTCCTGATTGATTCCCGATTTCTGATTAATTTCTGATTCTCGATTCCTGATTTCTGATTGTTTCCTGGTTTCTGATTTCCTGATTTCTGATTTCCTGATTTCTGATTTATTTCTGATTCCTGGTTCTTGATTCCTGATCCCTGATTTCTGATTCTTGCTTCCTGATTTCTGATTCCTGAATTCTGATTCCTGGTTCCCAATTCCTGATTCCTGATTCCTGATTGATTCCTGATTCCTGGTTCCTGATTCCTTGTTGATTTTTGATTTCTGATTTCCCATTGATTTCTGATTCCTGATTTCTGATTCCTGATTTCTGGTTGATTCCTGATTGATTTCTGATTCCTGACCGATTTCTGATTCCCAGTTTCTGATTCTTGTTTCCCAATTCCTGATTTCTGGTTCCTGATTGATTCCTGATTGATTCCTAATTCCTGATTGATTCCTGGTTTCTGATTGATTCCTTATTTTTGATTGATTCCTGGTTCCTGATTGATTTCTGATTCCTATGGGATTTTCCCCATGGCACAGCCCCTTTCTACCTGGAAAAATGGGATTTTCCGGATGGCACAGCCCATTTGTACTTGGAAAATCAGGATTTTCTGGGTGGCACAGCCCATTTGTACCTGGAAAAGTGGGATTTTCCCCATGGGACAGGTCATTTGTGCCTGGAAAATGGGATTTTCCCCATGGGACAGCCTATTGCCACCTGGAAAAGTGGATTTTCCTGGTGGGACAGCCCGTTTGTACCCAGAAAAGCGGGATTTTCCCCGTGGGATAGGCCATTTGTCCCAGAAAAAATGGATTTTTCCAGGTGGTACAGCCCATTTGTACCAGGAAGATTGGGATTTTCTGGGTGGCACAGCCCATTTTTACCTGGAAAATGGGGATTTCCCCCCGGCACAGCCCGTTTCTCCCAGGAAAAGCAGATTTTTCCTGGCTCCCAGCTCAGTTCCCCATCCCTCGCAGCAACTCACGAACCACATCCGCGAGACGCTGCCGGCGCTGCGCAGCAAGCTGCAGAGCCAGCTGCTGTCGCTGGAGAAGGAGGTGGAGGAGTACAAGAACTTCCGTCCCGACGACCCCGCGCGCAAAACCAAGGCGCTGCTGCAGTGGGTGCCTCGCGGGGCCGATCAGGATTTTGGGATCATCCCGGCGGGATTTTGGCATTTTGGGAAATCCCAGGGGGAGTTTGGGATTTTGGGCTTTCCCGGGTGGATTTTGGGCTTTCCCAGTGGGATTTTGGGCTTTCCCGGAGGGATTTTGGGAAATCCTGGAGGGAATTTGGGTTTTCCCAGTGGGATTTTGCCTTTTCCCGGGTGGATTTTGGGTTTTCCCGATGGGATTTTGGGCTTTCCCGGCAGGATTTTGGGCTTTCCCAGCGGGATTTTGGGCTTTCCCGGGTGGATTTTGGGCTTTCCCGGGTGGATTTTGGGCTTTCCTGGGGGGATTTTGGGAAATCCTGGTGGGATTTTGGGTTCCCTGCAGGACGGGGCTCTTCACGCCCGACCTGGCCTTCGAGGCCATCGTCAAGAAGCAGGTGGTGAAGCTGAAGGAGCCGTGCCTGAAATGCGTGGATTTGGTGATCCAGGAGCTCATCAACACCGTGCGCCAGTGCACCAGTAAGGTACTGGTCAGCCCAGTAACACCAGTGAGGGGTGGTCAGCCCAGTGCCACCAGTAAGGTACTGGATCACCAAGTAACACCAGTGAGGGGTGGTCAGCCCAGTGCCACCAGTAAGGTACTGGTCAGCCCAGTAACACCAGTATGAGACTGGTCAGCCCAGTAACACCAGTGAGGGGTGGTCAGCCCAGTAACAGTGACATACTGGTCAGCCCAGTGACACCAGTCAGGGCTCTCTCTCTGGAGCCCTTCCAGCCCCCCCCCCGCCGGCGCCTCCCTCCACCCAAAACCCCCCAGGTACAGTCTGGGCTCAGACTGGGCACTCCTGGGTCTCTCCTGGAGTTCCTGGCTGGATCCCGATGCACGGGCCGGGATTTGGGGCCGGGGCTGGGTGGGGTTTGGGGTTTTCGGTGCCTGCCTCCGTCCTGCAGCTCCTTTCCCCTCTCCCAGCTGGGCTCCTACCCCCGGCTGCGGGAGGAGACCGAGCGCATCGTCACCACGCACATCCGCGAGCGCGAGGGCAAAACCAAGGACCAGGTGAGCCCCCTCCCCCCCCCCCAGGGAGGGGATCCCCCTTCCGAGGATGGAATTGTTCTCAGGGAGCAGAATTCCCCCGGGAGCAGGAGCTGCCTCTCCCAAAACGGGAATTGCTCTCTGGGGTCGGGGATCCCTGTCTGGGATGGGGCCCCGTCCCCATCCCGTCCCGATCCCGTCCCAATCCCATCCCAATCCCGTCCCAATCCCGTCCCAATCCCATCCCAATCCCGTCCCAATCCCAATCCCAATCCCATCCCAGTCCCATCCCAATCCCATCCCAATCCCATCCCAATCCCATCCCAATCCCATCCCAATCCCGTCCCCATCCCATCCCAATCCCGTCCCAATCCCATCCCAATCCCGTCCCAATCCCAATCCCAATCCCATCCCAGTCCCATCCCAATCCCATCCCAATCCCATCCCAATCCCATCCCAATCCCATCCCAATCCCATCCCAATCCCATCCCAATCCCATCCCAATCCCATCCCAATCCCATCCCAATCGCATCCCAATCCCGTCCCAATCCCAATCCCGTCCCAATCCCGTCCCAATCCCAATCCCAATCCCATCCCAATCCCGTCCCAATCCCAATCCCATCCCAATCCCAATCCCGTCCCAATCCCACCCCAGGGAAGGCTCCCCCCTTCCCTGACCCCTGCTTCCCTCAGATCCTGCTGCTCATCGACATCGAGCTCTCCTACATCAACACCAACCACGAGGATTTCATCGGCTTCGCCAAGTGAGTTCTTGTCCGGGGGAAGTTCCCACGTTCCCCCGGCCTTGTGGGGTTGTGCTTTCATTCTGGGGGACGCTGGAGTCGCCCACCAGCACCTCTGGCACCCGACCCCTGCAGGGAAGGGCTGGGAAAGCCCCAGCCTCGGGAATTGGGATGAATCCTGGTGGTTCGGGCTGCTGGAGCTGCCCCAGGGCAGGAATTGCTCCTTGTCCTCTCCGTCCCTCCTCATCCTCTCCCCTGCCACCTTCCCTCGAGTTTTCCTGGTGTTTTCCAGCCCCAAACCTCCGGGAAGCTCCCAGACTGCAGCTGAGGGTGCCTGGAGCCCACCCCCCTCCTTCCCCTTCATTCCCACACTCCTCCTCCTGTTCTTTTTCTCTCTTCCCCCTTTTTCTCTCTTTTCCTCTCCGGCGACCCTCCCTGCTCTCTGCTGTTCCCCCTGGATCCATCACCTCTCTCTGTCTCTGGACTGTCCTGCTCCTCTCCTGGCCCAGCTGTTTCACTGAGCAGCACGTGGCCGCCGGGTGGGTACCGGGGGCATCCCCCTCCCCAGGGCATCCCGGCCCCTTCCCGGGGCTGGGGGGGCCGGGGGGGCTCCCCGAGGGGCTGGGGGCTGGGAGCTTCTCCTTGGAACTGGGATCTCGGAGCTTCTCCTTGGAACTGGGATCCCGGAGCTTCTCCTTGGAACTGGGATCTCGGAGCTTCTCCTTGGAACTGGGATCCTGGAGCTTCTCCCAGTTCAGCTTTGGGTTTGGGATCCTGGAGCTTCTCCTTGGCTTTGGGATCCTGGAGCTTCTCCTCGGAACTGGGATCCTGGAGCTTCTCCTCAGAATTGGGATCCTGGAGCTTCTCCCAGTTCAGCTTTGGGTTTGGGATCCTGGAGCTTCTCCTTGGAATTGGGATCCCGGAGCTTCTCCCAGTTCAGCTTTGGGTTTGGGATCCTGGAGCTTCTCCTTGGCATTGGGATCCCGGAGCTTCTCCTCCCAGTTGAGCTTTGGGTTTGGGGTCCCGGAGCTTCTCCTCCCAGTCCAGCTCTGGAATTGGGATCCTGGAGCTTCTTCTCCCAGTTCAGCTCTGGATTTGGGCTCCTGGAGCTTCTCCTCCCAGTTCAGCCTTGGAACTGGGATCCTGAAGCTTTTCCTCCCAGTTGAGTTTGGGTTTGGGCTCCTGGAGCTGCTCCTCCCATTTCTCCTCTGGAATTGGGCTCCTGGAGCTGCTCCTCCCGTTTCTCCTCTGGAATTGGGCTCCTGGAGCTTCTCCTCCCATTTCTGCTCTGGGTTTGGGATCCTGGAGCTGCTCCTCCCAGCTGAGCTGGCTGCACCCCGCTCACCCCTGCCCAGGGATCCGGGAGGAGCTGTCGGGAGCGGGGCAGGCAGGGAGGGCTCCCCAGCTCCCCCAAACCCCCTCTGCAGGGGTGGCAGTGCCCCCCGTGCTGCTCGGGGGGGATTCTAACGGATTTCCCGGATTTTGTTCCCGCTCCCGACTAACGGTTCCGCCCCCTCGGTGCTCAGGAGAGCCAGGTAGCTTTTCCCCCTGGTGCAGGTAATGCTCCATCCCCAGCCGGGGGGACTTGGGTCTTTCTGGAAGCTCCTGGTGGTCGGGATTCCCGCGGGGAATCTGCAGGAATCTGCAGGAATCTGCTGCTGCTGCTCGGGTGTTTCACAACCTCCTCCCCCTGGAGTCGCTCCTGGGAATTCCAGGAGCTCCCGGTGTCACCTCCCCCCTCTATCCTGGGCAAAAAACCTCGGGAAAAACCTCGGGAAGAACCTCGGGAAGAACCTCGGGAAGGGGCTCTGGAGTTGCCCCCCTGGGATGGGCTCCTCCCTCGCTCAGCTCCCTCTCCCCCAGCTCAAAATCCCATTTTTCCCCCTTTTTTCCCAGCGCGCAGCAGCGGAACACGCAGACCAACAAGAAGAGAGCCATCCCCAACCAGGTAGAGCCCGGAATTCCTCCTCCTCCTCCTCCTCCTCCTGCTCCGAGCCCAATCCAGAACTCTGATGCCAAGGCCGGGTTTGGGCACGGAGGAGCAGCGGAATTCCCGCCTGAAAACGGAATTTGGGACGAAGCGGGCGGGGGGCGCAGCCCTGGGCGTTGGGGGGTGAGGGAGGAGCCCGGGGTGTCCCCAGGGCCGTGTCCCCCCCAGTGCTGCTGCCAGGGGTGGGCAGGAGTGGCCGTGCCCCTTCCCCAGGCCCCGGCTCCCTCCGGAAGGCAATTAACGCTGGGAATGATCATTAATCTCCTCCCATTTCTCCTCTGGAATTGGGCTCCTGGAGCTTCTCCTCCCAGCTGAGCTTTGGGTTTGGGATCCTGGAGCTTCTCCTCCCAGTCCAGCTCTGGAATTGGGATCCTGGAGCTGCTCCTCCCATTTCTCCTCTGGAATTGGGCTCCTGGAGCTGCTCCTCCCACTTCTCCTCTGGAATTGGGATCCTGGAGCTTCTCCTCCCACTTCTCCTCTGGAATTGGGCTCCTGGAGCTGCTCCTCCCATTTCTCCTCTGGGTTTGGGCTCCTGGAGCTGCTCCTCCCAGCTGAGCTGGCTGCACCCCGCTCACCCCTGCCCAGGGATCCGGGAGGAGCTGTCGGGAGCGGGGCAGGCAGGGAGGGCTCCCCAGCTCCCCCAAACCCCCTCTGCAGGGGTGGCAGTGCCCCCCGTGCTGCTCGGGGGGGATTCTAACGGATTTCCCGGATTTTGTTCCCGCTCCCGACTAACGGTTCCGCCCCCTCGGTGCTCAGGAGAGCCAGGTAGCTTTTCCCCCTGGTGCAGGTAATGCTCCATCCCCAGCCGGGGGGACTTGGGTCTTTCTGGAAGCTCCTGGTGGTCGGGATTCCCGCGGGGAATCTGCAGGAATCTGCAGGAATCTGCTGCTGCTGCTCGGGTGTTTCACAACCTCCTCCCCCTGGAGTCGCTCCTGGGAATTCCAGGAGCTCCCGGTGTCACCTCCCCCCTCTATCCTGGGCTCTATCCTGGGCAAAAAACCTCGGGAAGAACCTCGGGAAGAACCTCGGGAAGGGGCTCTGGAGTTGCCCCCCTGGGATGGGCTCCTCCCTCGCTCAGCTCCCTCTCCCCCAGCTCAAAATCCCATTTTTCCCCCTTTTTTCCCAGCGCGCAGCAGCGGAACACGCAGACCAACAAGAAGAGAGCCATCCCCAACCAGGTAGAGCCCGGAATTCCTCCTCCTCCTCCTCCTCCTCCTCCTGCTCTGAGCCCAGTCCAGAACTCTGATGCCAAGGCCGGGTTTGGGCACGGAGGAGCAGCGGAATTCCTGCCTGAAAACGGAATTTGGGACGAAGCGGGCGGGGGGCGCAGCCCTGGGCGTTGGGGGGTGAGGGAGGAGCCCGGGGTGTCCCCAGGGCCGTGTCCCCCCCAGTGCTGCTGCCAGGGGTGGGCAGGAGTGGCCGTGCCCCTTCCCCAGGCCCCGGCTCCCTCCGGAAGGCAATTAACGCTGGGAATGATCATTAATAGCATGTAACGGGTTTTCTTCTGCTGTTTTCCTGCTTTTTCCTCCTTTTTTGTTTTGTGCTTCTCGCTCTTTCCTTCTCCTGTCACTCCCGTCCCTTTCCCTGTCTCCTCTTCCTGCTTTTTTTTGTTTTATTTTGTGTTTTTCCCCCTTAATTTTGCGTGCCCAAAGGGGGAGATCCTGGTAAGTACCACGGAGCGGGACGGTGCCGGGACAGCGCCGGCCCTGCCGGGAGCAGCATCCCCAAAAAGCCCAAAAAAACCCCAAAAACGCCGCCCCCTGCTCCCCAGGATGGAGAGAGGAGGGGGAAAGGATTCCCAGGGGGAGCAGCCAGGTGGGAATTGGGTTTGTGCCCCCTCGGGGGGCTTTGGGGTGATCCACGTTGCTCCTGGTTTTCCCAGATTTTGGGAAGCAGGAGGCCAAAATCTTTCTGATTTCAAAATCTTTCTGAATCTTTCTGATTCAGCCCAGAATGGCTGGAGGGGGTTGAGATTCTCTTTATTCTTTTGGGAACACGTGGAGGGAGGGGCTGGCAGTTCATTTCTCCACCCAAATCCGGTTGGGATTTGGGTTTTTTGGAGGGATTTGGGAATTCCACACCAGAATTCCCAACCTGGCTGCTCCAAGCTCTGTCAGTCCACCCCGGAGCTCCTCCCTCCTGGGACAGGGAGGGGGGTCCAGGGGGTCCCAATCCCACTGCTCCCCTCGGAGCCTGTCACCTCTCCAGGAACGTGGAAGTGTCTGAGAGGGAATCTTTTCCAAACCCAAACCCAAATTTTTTCCAAACCCTTTGGGATTTGCAGCCTCGGGGGTGGCCTCAGCCCCCCCCGGGCAGGGAAAACCAGGATGATCCCATGGATCCTGCCTTGGATAGAGCTGGAATTCAGAGCCAGGGCGTGCCAGGCTTGGCACTGAAAGGTTTTATTCCCCCAAAGCACGGATTCCGAGGGGTGCAGCTCCCCCAGGAGGGTTTGTGCCCCCCATTTCCATGAATCCCCGCCTCAGATCCGGCCCTTTCCCGGCTCCTCGGGCGCTTCCACCTCCCTCCCCCCACCCGGCTGTTGCTGGGGACCCCCGGGACCCCCAGAGCTCCGGGCAGGGCCGGCCGCGGGACGGGGTCGCGGGGGGAAGGGGGAGAGCTGCGAGTGGGGGGTGGGAGCCCTGCGAGCCCCCAGACCATCCCTGTTCTTGCCCAAATCCGTCGGTTTTAAAGGAACTTCCTCCCTCCTGCTCCCGGGCCTTTCCCAGCGGCTCCAGCTCCCGCGGGGCTGCACAGACCCTCTCCCTTTTCCCCTCAAAGTCCCCCCTCTCCCCTTCCCCTTTTTCCTTTCAGCCCCTTTTCCCCTGAGCCCTTTCCCCAGATCCCCCCCGACCCCTCTGGGTTGCCCCAATCCCTTTCCCACTGCACATTCCCGATCCTGATCCTGCCTCTGCCCCTTCCCACCCCCCGGTTCCTTTAAAACCCCCTCGGATCCAACCCCAGGGTGGGTCCCAGGCGGGACCGGGGCTCTCGGAGGTGAAACCCCCCTCCCCTGCCCCCTGCAATCCCCGGCCTCTCCGTCCTCCCCGCGGCTCCAGCTTGGCTCTGCCTCACCCCGGGGCTCTGCCGTGGCTCCCGTGCCGGGAAACCCACCCGGGGAGGGGCCCGGGACCCCCGGGGGTCTCGGTGGAGCCGCGGCAGGCCCCGGGTCTAACCCGGCTCTGCCCCTTCCCGGGGCTGCTCCCGCTCCGGCCGCGCTTCCCGCCGAGCCCTGGCACTAACCCGGGGCTGGGAGAGACCTGGGGTGGGACAGACCTGGGATGGGGTGGGACAGACCCGGGGTGGGCTGGGACAGACCCGGGATGGGCCGGGACAGACCCGGGGTGGGCTGGGATCACTGGGGGATCCTGCTGTGGGATCGCTGTGGGATCAGTATGGGATCGCTGGGATCCCCGCGGGACCCCGCTGTGGGATCACTAACCCGGGGCTGGGAGAGACCTGGGGTGGGACAGACCTGGGATGGGGTGGGACAGACCCGGGGTGGGCTGGGACAGACCCGGGATGGGCCGGGACAGACCCGGGATGGGGTGGGACAGACCCGGGATGGGCTGGGATCACTGGGGGATCCTGCTGTGGGATCAGTTTGGGATCGCTGGGATCCCCGCGGGACCCCGCTGTGGGATCACTTTGGGATCACTTTGGGATGACTTTGGGACCCTGCTGTGGGATCCTGCTTTGGGCTCACTTTGGGATCCCTGTGGGTTCATTTTGTATCTCTGGGATCCCTGTGGGATCACTTTGGTATCACTTCGGGATGACTGTGGATCACTTTGGGATCACTGTGGGATCACTTTTGGACCCTGCTGTGGGATCCTGCTTTGGGCTCACTGCGGGATCACTTTGGGATCGCTGCGGGATCACTTTGGGATCTCTGGGATCTCTGTGGGATCACTCTGGGATCGCGGTGCCCCCGCGGTGACCCCGCTGTGCCGTGCCGTGCCGTGCCGTGCTGTGCCGGCGTGCCGCAGGTGATCCGCCGGGGCTGGCTCACCATCAACAACATCAGCATCATGAAGGGCGGCTCCAAGGAGTACTGGTTCGTGCTGACGGCAGAGTCGCTGTCCTGGTACAAGGACGAGGAGGTACGGGGGGAAACGGGGGTGCCAGGGGGAAAAATGGGGTGCCAGGGGGGAAAAATGGGGAAATCTGGGAAAAATCCAGGGTGCCAGGGGAGGGAACGGGGAAATGAGGGGTGCCGGGGGGGGGGGAATGGGAAAAATCTGGGATTTCAGAGGGAAAAATGGGGAAATGCCGGGTGCCAGAGGGAAATTTGGAGTGATAGAGGGAAAAACTGGGAAAAGTGAGGTGCTAGAGGGAAAAATGGGGGTGCCAGGGTGGGAAAACGGGGAAATGAGGGGTGCCAGGGGGGGGAAATGGGGAAATCTGGGATTTCAGAGGGAAAACAGAGAAAATCCGGGGTGCCAGGGTGAAAATCCAGGGTTACAGAGGGAAAAATGGGGAAATCTGGAGTGCCAGAGGGAAAAATGGGGAAAATTTGGGATTCCAGAGGAAAAAATGGGGGAAATCCAGGGTTCCAGAGAGAAAAACTGGGAAAATTTGGGGTTCCAGAGAGAAAAATGGGGGGAAATTGGGAAAACCTGTGATTCCAGAGGGAAAAATGGGGAGGGAATCTGGGATTGCTTGGGGGTCCAGGGGGCTGCAGACCCCCCCTCATTCCCCAGGGGATTCCTCAGTGCAGACCCCCCCTCACTCCCCAGCCCCCCCCAGCAGGGGCAGCCCCAAATCCCTGAAGATTTTGGGTTTTGCAGCATTTCCTCCCCCTCAATCCCACTGATCCCACTCCTCCCCTGGCGGGAGGACCCAAAAAGGGTGATTCCAAAAGGGGAAATTCCCAAAAAGGGGCAATTCCCAAAAAGGGTGATTCCCAAAAAGGGGAAATTCCCAAAAAGGGGCAATTCCCAAAAAGGGGAAATTCCCAAAAAGGGGCAATTCCCAAAAAGGGGCGATTCCCAAAAAGGGGCAATTCCCAAAAAGGGGCAATTCCCAAAAAGGGGAAATTCCCAAAAAGGGGTGATTCCCAAAAGGGGCAATTCCCAAAAAGGGGTGATTCCCAAAAGGGGCGATTCCCATAAAGGGGAAATTCCCAAAAAGGGTCAATTCCCAAAAAGGGGTGATTCCCAAAAAGGGCGATTCCCAAGAAAGGGGCAATTCCTGGGAAGGGAAAGGAGCGATTCCTGGGAAGGGGCAATTCCTGGGGAAGATTCCCAGGAAGGGGGAAGATTCCCGGGAAGGGGCAATTCCCAAAAAGGAGTGATTCCTGGGAAGGAAAAGGGGCAATTCCCGGGAAAGGGTGATTCCCAAAAAGGAGCAATTCCCGGGAAGGAAAAGGGACAATTCCCAGGAAAAGGAGCAATTCCCAAAAAGGCCAATTCCCAAAAGGGCCAATTCCCGGGGAAAGAAACGGAGCAATTCCAGGGAAAGGGGCAATTCCCAAAAAAGCCAATTCCCAAAAGGGCCAATTCCCGGGAAGGAAAAGGAGCAATTCCCAAAAAAGAGCAATTCCCGGGAAAGGGGCAATTCCCAAAAGGGCCAATTCCCAATTCCCAAAAGGGCCAATTCCCGGGGAAAGAAACGGAGCAATTCCAGGGAAAGGGGCAATTCCCAAAAAAGCCAATTCCCAAAAGGGCCAATTCCCGGGAAGGAAAAGGAGCAATTCCCAAAAAGGCCAATTCCCAAAAAAGCCAATTCCCAAAAGCCAATTCCCAGGAAGGAAAAGGAGCAATTCCCAAAAGCCAGTTCCCAAAAGCCAATTCCCAAAAGCCAGTTCCCAAAAGCCAATTCCCAAAAGCCAATTCCCAAAAGCCAATTCCCAAAAGCCAATTCCCAAAAGCCAGTTCCCAAAATCCAGTTCCCAAAAGCCAATTCCCAAAAGCCAGTTCCCAAAAGCCAGTTCCTGGGAAGGAAAAGGGACAATTCCCAAAATCCAGTTCCCAAAATCCAGTTCCCAAAAGCCACTTCCCGGGGTCCCCGCTCACCCGCGGCCGCTGCGGCTCCGGCGCCGCCCGCGCCGGCGTAACCAATGTGCAGACTACTGTACATCCCTTCCCACCTGAACAGGTAGTCTGAACACTGGGAACGCCGGCCCGGCTCTCGGGGGGTCCTGGGCTGCTTTTTTGGGGGGGGGTCGCTGTCCCGGGGCCGTGCCTTTGTCCGCTCCTGACGTGGCAGAGCCCGAATCCCGCCTGGAGAAGCTCTGTGGGTTTGTCAGGAAATCGTGTGGGGAGGGGGGGCGGCCCCGGGTTCGTGGCCTCTCTCCCACAAAGGCCAACGTCACTTTTTTTGGGACCATCTGGAGACAAAGCGGGGCTGGAGCTGCTCTAAGCAGTTCCAGATGTTGGCGTTCCGGCGGGCCCGGCCTGGAGGAGGCTCCCGGGCTCCTTGCAGCCGCGTTCCTGGGGAGCTGTGCTGCAGCAGGGTGGGCTCGGGGGGTCTGCTCCCCTCCCAGAGCAGCCCCCCGGGGGTCCCTGATTCCTCCCAAAGCAATTCCCCAACACAGGGGTCTCTCCCCACCCCAGAGCAGCCCCCCGGGGGTCCCTGATTCCTCCCAAAGCAATTCCCCCATCCCAGGGGGTCTGCCCCCACCCCAGAGCAGCCCCCCGGGGGTCCCTGATTCCTCCCAAAGCAATTCCCCCATCCCAGGCTCCACGGGATGAGCTGGGTGTCTCCCCTTGAGTTTTCCCAGCAGGAGTTTGGGGTCTGCAGCTCCCAACGCCGGGGTTTGTTCCCATTCCTTGGCCTTCATCCCTGTTTCCCTCTCGTCCTCTTTCCCAGGAGAAGGAGAAGAAGTACATGCTGCCTTTGGATAACCTGAAAATCAGGGACGTGGAGAAGGGCTTCATGTCCACCAAACACATCTTCGCCATCTTCAACACGGAGCAGAGGTGGGGGATCCTCCTGGGCACCTCGGGCATTCCCCTTCCCTTGCTCCCGGCTCCTCGGGGAGGCTGGCATCCCTCGGGGTGCTTCATCCAGCATTCCCAGCGGGATCCCAGGGGGATTTGGGGCTCCCCTGACCCGCAGGCCTCCTCCCCTGCAGGAATGTGTACAAGGACCTGCGGCAGATCGAGCTGGCCTGCGACTCCCAGGAGGACGTGGACAGCTGGAAAGCCTCCTTCCTCAGGGCGGGGGTCTACCCCGAGAAGGACCAGGTGAATCGGGAGCCCACGGGGCTGGGGCACCCCTGGGAGCAGCCACGAGCACCCCAGGGCTCCCTGGGGATGGAGGAGGAGATCCCCGGGGTGCTGCTGGACGGATCCCGGCTGTGGAATTACCCCGGGATGGGAATGGGGCTGTGGGAGTAACCCCGGGATGGGAATGGGCTGGGGGAGTAAACCCAGGATGGGAATGGGGCTGGGGGAGTAAACCCAGGATGGGAATGGGGCTGGGAACAGGCTCTGGAATAGCCCCAGGATGGGGGGGAAAAGGGGATGGGGAATGGGGGAAAAGGGGATGGAAAACTGTGGGAGGAGCTGGAGGGGCTCAGCCTGGACAAGGAGGCTCCAGGGCACCTCCTGGCTCGTGACAATTCCTTTAAGGAGGTTGGAGCCAGCCGGGGGCTGATCCCTCCCCCTGTCCCCCTAATCCTGTCCCCTCCTCCCAAAGGGGACAGGCCAAGAGGAAAGGGCCTCAAGCTGTGCCAGGGGAGGTTCAGGGTGGATTTGGGGAGAATTCTGGAGGAGTTTTCCATCCCTGGCACAGGGGGGTGTCCCCTCCTTGGGGAAAAGTGCCTCAGAGCCGTGCAGGTGGCACTCAGGGACAGGAACCAGGACAGGACCCACCCCAATTCCCCCAAACCGGAGCGCCCCAAACCCCTCAGCCGCTCATCCCAGCCCTTCCCTCGTGCCCCCAGACCAAGGATTTCATCCACTCGGAGCTGCTGGCCTTCCTGTACTCGTCGTCAGACCAGAGCAGCCTGATGGAGGAGTCGGCGGAGCAGGCGCAGCGGCGCGACGAGATGCTGCGCATGTACCACGCGCTCAAGGAGGCGCTGGCCATCATCGGCGACATCAGCACCAGCACCGTCACCACGCCCGTGCCCCCGCCCGTGGACGACACCTGGCTGCAGCCCGGCGCCGGCCACAGGTGGGGCTGGGGGCGGGGGGTCCTGGTGGGGGGTGGGTTATCCCTGGCAGTGTCCATCCCCAATGACCGATCCTGTTCAGTGTCCATTCCTGGTGACCGATCCCATCCCGTGTCCATCCCCACTGACTGATCCTGTTCAGTGTCCATTCCTGGTGACCAATCCCTGGCCGTGTCCATCCCTGCTGAACTATCCTCTTCAGTGTCCATCCCCAATGACCAATCCTCTTCAGTGTCCATCCCCAATGACCAGTCCTGTTCAGTGTCCATCCCCAATGACCAATCCTCTTCAGTGTCCATCCCCAATGACCAGTCCTGTTCAGTGTCCATCCCCAATGACCAATCCCTAGCTGTGTCCATCCCCACTGACCAATCCCTGGCCATGTCCATCCCCACTGACCAATCCTCTTCAGTGTCCATCCCCACTGACCAATCCCATCCCGTTCCTATCCTGCTGACCCGTGTCCATCCCTGCTGAACTATCCTCTTCAGTGTCCATCCCCAATGACCAGTCCTGTTCAGTGTCCATCCCCAATGACCAATCCTCTTCAGTGTCCATCCCCAATGACCAGTCCTGTTCAGTGTCCATCCCCAATGACCAATCCCTAGCTGTGTCCATCCCCACTGACCAATCCCTGGCCATGTCCATCCCCACTGACCAATCCTCTTCAGTGTCCATCCCCACTGACCAATCCCATCCCGTTCCTATCCTGCTGACCGTTCCCGTTCCGTTCCCATCCCGTTCCCACCCCGCTGACCGTTCCCGTTGTGTTTCCAGCCCACTGACCGTTCCCATCCCGTTCCTGTTCCGTTCCCATCCCCACTGACCATTCCCATTCCATTCCCATCCTGTGTCCATCCCAAATGACCGTTCCCATCCCATTCCCATCTCGTTCCCATCCCGTTCCCACCCCGCTGACCGTTCCCATCCCATTCCCATCCCGTTCCCGTTCCGTTCCCACCCCGCTGACCGTTCCCGTTGCGTTTCCAGCCCGCCCCCGCAGCGCCGCCCGCCCTCGGCCCTGCTGCCCCCGGGCCGCCCCCCGTCCCTGTGCACTGGGAGCCTCTGGGGGGGGCTGGGAGCCACTGGGGAGGGCTGGGAGTCACTGGGATTGCACTGGGAGTCACGGGGGGGGGGCTGGGAGCCACTGGGGTATCACTGGGAGCCACTGGGGTCTCACCGGGATCCCCCAGGATCCCCCGTGCCCTCAGCCCCCGCCCCGTTCCCCCACAGGAGGCCCCCGGCGGCCCCGAGCCGCCCGACCATCATCCGCCCGGCCGAGCCCTCCCTGCTGGATTAACCCCGGGATCCGCGGGATCCACCGGGACCCACCGCCCCCCGCGGGATCCACCGCCCCCCGTGCCGCCACCACCGCCCTCGGAACAGGAGAGACGGGGGGAAATGGGAAAAAAACGGGAAAAAATCAACCCAGAGCCAGCCCGGAGCTCCTGGGGCTGATCCTGGGGTGATTCTGGGGCTGATCCCAGATCCCATCCCAGATCTTCGGGCTGATCCTGGATCCCATCCCAGATCTTGGGGCTGATCCTGGGTTGATCCCGGGCTGATTCCTGATCCCAGATCCCGTCCCAGGCTGATCCCAGATCCCGGGCCGATCCCGGATCCCGTCGCGGCGGGGGCAGCTCCCGGGCAGGTCCCAGCAGCTGATCCTGGCAGCTCCGGGGCCCCCCCGGTGCCCCCCGGGCCGGGGCGGTGACGGATTGTGGGGGTGGGGGTGGGGGTGGGAACTTTGCACTTTGTCAGAATTCCCGAGGGGGGAGGGCCCGGCCCCGCCTCTGCCTTCCTCCCCTCTCCTCCTCCTCCTCCCCCGTTCCCGAATTCCGGGGATTCTGCCCCAAATTCACCCACGGCTCCTCCCCCCGCCCCACCCAGGGGTCAGGATTGGGGTTTGGGGTTTTTTTTTTTTTGTTTTGTTTTTGGGGTTTTTTTAAAGAATTGGGGTTTGTGAGCAGGGGAAAACACTGGAATTCCCAGAGGGATTCAGCAGCGATCCCAATTCCCTGAGAACCTCAGGAATTTCATCCCGGGAATTACCCGGGAGACGAGGAGGAAGAGGAGGGGGAGGGAGGAAGATGTGCCCTCCCCCTGTTCCCGATCCCGCTCCGCCGGGAGCCGAGGTTGTAAATATTTTTACAGACTTGTATTAATTGTATAAAAAAAAAAAGCCCACAAAAAAAAACAAGAGGGGAAAAATGAGGAAAAGGAAAAAAAAAAACCACAAAAAAAAACAAACCAGGAAAAAAAAAAAAAAAAAAAAAAAAAAAAAGAAAAAAAAAAAAAAAAAAAGCGGCCCGGGGAAAAATGAGGAAAAGGAAAAAAAAAACCACAAAAAAAAACAAACCAGGAAAAAAAAAAAAGAAAAAAAAAAAAAAAAGGAAAAAAAAAAAACCAGATCGCGGCCCAGCAATAATGTGGATTTTTCCAACCCCCCCCGGCCCCGGTGCCTTAACGACCCCCCGGCTCGGGGGGGCCAATTAATCCATTAACGAGCCGGGGGCGGTTTTGGGGGGGCGGCTCCAGCCCCCCCCGGGGGTCCCCCCGAAGTGCCTCCGCTCCGCGTCCCATTAATGAACTAAAAACCGGCAAAAAAATCCGAATAAAGGGAAAAAAAAAATCCAAAACCGAGTGAGGCGTGGAATTCCGGGGTGGGGGGATGGGGGGGTTCCACGGCGCGGCTCCCACCGGATCCAGCCCCGTTCCCGGGGGGAATTCCGCGCGCAACGGATGAAAAACGGTTAAAAAAAAAAAAATCCCGATTTTAATTAATTGGAGTGCGTCGGGACGGGGGAGCCCGAACACCGGGACGTGGATCCGGGGGGGATTCACCGCGAGGGATCCGCGCGGGAACCCCGGGAATTGGGGAATTTCGGGACGGAAATCCCGCCGGGATCCAACATGGCCGCCGCCAGGGGCGCCGCCATTGCCGCGCGACGCCGCTCAGGGAGGCCCCTCCCGGGACTGCCCGCGGCGGTGCCTGAGGCGGGAGGTGACCGAGGGGCGGCGCCTGAGGGCGATCCCGGCGGCGGATCCGGTGAGGGATCCCGGTGAGCGATCCCGGTGAGGGATCCCTGTGGCGGATCCCGCCGGCGGATCCCGGTGGTTCCTCCAGTCCCGGAGTTTTTCAGGCGCCGTCGGGGCCGCCCGAGGCGCGCGGGGTCCTCTCCCGTCCCTCCGCTCTCATTGGCTGCTCCCTCCCCGCCTTCCTGAGCTCTGATTGGCCAGCGCGAACCTGACCCCGCCCCCTCCTCGGCGCGCGGTGTTGACGAGCGCCCCCTGGCGGAGCTGGAGTCCCACAATGCACCGCGCGGGGGCCGGGGGAGTTTGGGGCAGATTTGGGGGAATTTGGGGCAGATTTTCAGGTCCAGGGGGGAAAACGGGGACAGATTTGGAGATCTGGGGGCAGACCTGATCTGATTTGGGAGTGGGGGCAGATTTGAGGTGTTTTGGGGCAGATTTTGGGGTCTTGGGGCAGATTTTGGGGTCCAGGGGCAGATTTTGGTGTTCAGGGGCAGATTTTGGGGTCGCAGCCTCCCTTCCTCCCCCCGAAATTCCCAATCTCCCAGGAATCCCTTCCCGGCCGCGTTTCCCCGCCCCGCGCTCGCAGCTTTGGGTGCAAAAACCCCAAATTTGCGCAATGGCTGCGACGCCGCACTTCCTGCGGGCCCCGAGCGCTTCCTTCCTGCGCCGCGCCCGGGCCCGGGGGTCCCGGCAGATCCTGGGGATCCTGGTGATCCCGGGGGTCCTGGGAGCGCCAGGAGCGGGAGGAAGATGAGGATGAGGATGAGGATGAGGTTGGAGCCGGTGCTCCTCGTGGCTGCGGCCTCGTGCTTGAGGCAGACCGGGCACGATCCCGGCGAGGATTCCCGGGATTTCCTCCAGGATTCCCAACGGAATTCCCAGGATTCCCATCGGGATTTCCCCCAGGATTCCCCCCGGGATTTTCAGGATTTCCCCCAGGATTTTTGGGATTTGCCACCGGATTCCCACCAGGATTTTCAGGATTCCCCCCAGGATTCCCCCCAGGATTTTCAGGATTCCCGGCAGGATTTTCAGGATTCTCGCTGGGATCTTTGGGATTCCCTCTGGGATTCCCCCAAGGATTCCCCCCGGGATTCCCCCCGAGGATTCCCCCTGTCTCGCCGGGATCTTTGGGATTCCCTCTGGGATTCCCCCGAGGATTCCCCCTGGGATTCCCCCCAGGATTTTCAGGATTCCCGGCAGGATTTTCAGGATTCTCGCTGGGATCTTTGGGATTCCCTCTGGGATTCCCCCGAGGATTCCCCCTGGGATTCCCCCCAGGATTTTCAGGATTCCCACCGGGTTTCTCAGGATTCCCAAGATTTTTGGGATTCCCGCCAGGGTTTTTGGGATTCCCCCCAGGATCCCCCCCAGGATTTTCAGGATTCCCCCCGGGATTTTCGGGATTCTCGCCAGGATTCCCCTCGGGATCTCCCCCAGGATTCCCATCGGGATTCCCCCCGGGATTCCCCCCGGGATTTTCGGGATTCCCGCCGCGGTTCCCGCCGGGCTCCCGGTGCCGCCGCCCCGCGGCTCCTCCCGGCTCCGCTGCTGCTCCGGTTGCCCGGGGAGCCGGGGCCCGCCCGGATCCGGTGCCTGGCCCCGCGCCGCTTCACCGGCAGCACCTTCGAGCTGCTCGCGGGGGTCCCGGGGGTCCCGGTGCGGAGCCTCGCCGCCGCCGCCGACCGGCACTGGGCCGAGTTCGCCCTGCCCGGAGCCGCCGGCTGCTTCCGCTGCCGCTACCGGAGCCACAACGGCAGCGCCTGGCTGGAGTCGGAGCCGAGCGCCGGCACCGGCGGCTCCGGTGCGTGCGGGGGGACCGGGGGCATCCCCGGGGCCGGCCCGGAGCTGAATCCGGGGTTTTTCTCCCCAGATTTGGGTGATGCTGAGTGTGAGCCGAGCACCGGCACGGCCGGGACCCCGCGGGACGGCGCCGGGACCGTGAGGAACGGCACCGGGACCGTCAGGAACGGCACCGGGACTCTGCAGAACGGTATCGGGACCCCGCGGGACGGCACCGGCACCACCCGGGGCTGATCCCTGGCACGGTCCCGGTGCCAGATCCCGGTTCTGGGTCCCGGTACCGGACCCCGGTGATCCCCCCCTCTCTCTCCCTCCCAGATCCGCCCTGGCTCCTCCCGGTCTCGGTCGGTGTCGCCGTCCCGGGGCTGCTGCTGCTGCTGGGGGCGGCGGCCGCGGCCGGGAGAGGTGGGAGGGGGCTCAGAACCGGGAATTCGGGGGGCTCGGAACCGGGAATTCGGGGATTCAGAACCGGGAATTTGGGGGTTCAGAACCGGGAATTCGGGGGGCTCAGCGCCCAGGGACCCCCACCCCTCTCGCCTGGCCCCCCGGTGTCACCGGTTCTGCCCTCAGGGCTCCGGCGGCGGCGTGGACGGAGCCCCACGGTGCCGGTGGCGGCCCCGGTAAGGCCGGACCCCTCCCGTGACCCCAAACCCGCCCCGGACCCCCGGGTCCCCCCCGGGACCCCCCAAATCCAGCCGCGCCCCTCCTGTCCCGGCAGAGCCTCCCCCTGGCCCCCCGTGAGGGGTCCCGGGGGTCCCGGTGAGGACCTGAGCTGGCAGCGCCTCCCGGTGTCGCCGCGGATCGGGGCTGGCCCCGGCTCCGGTCACCGGAGCCCGCCGGGAGGAGCCCCCCCCTCACCCACCCCCCGGTGCTGCCGGGGCTCCAGCGGGCGCTCCGGGGCAATAAAGGAAAGGTGTGACTGCAGCGCCGCCGCGCTCCCGGCGTCCATTCCCGGTGCCCATTCCCGTTCCCAGTGTCCCGTTCCCATTCCTGGTATTCTGTTCCCGGTATCCATTCCCGTTCCTGGTATCCCATTCCCGGTGCCCATTCCCGGTGTCCCGTTCCCGGTATCCCATTCCCATTCCCAGTATCCATTCCCGCTGTCCCGTTCCCGTTCCCGTTCCTATTCCCGTTCCCATTCCCGATATCCCGTTCCCGGTATCCCGTTCCCATTCCCATTCCCGGTATCCCATTCCCATTCCCAGTATCCATTCCCGCTGTCCCGTTCCCGTTCCCGTTCCTATTCCCGTTCCCATTCCCGATATCCCGTTCCCGGTATCCCGTTCCCGTTCCCGTCCCCGCTCCCGTTGCCCTCCCATCCGCCAGGGGGCGCACCCCCCCACACCACCGCTCCTTATGGGCGTGGCCTCTCCCGGAGTGGGCGTGTCCGCCCCGCGCGCTGCCGCGGCGGGAGGTGGGCGTGGCCGCACCGGGAGCTGGGCGTGGCCGCGGTGGGGGTGGGCGTGGTCGCGGCGGGAGCTGGGCGTGGCCGCGGCG